CTGTCCCCAACAGCCAGAACAAGGTGTGCTCATCACCCGGGGGGACTTCTGACTGTTACCTGTAGTGTGCACGTTACTCCTTTGCACAAACCACCCACAGGTGTCATTCACGGAGGTGAGGTCCCCTGAACTGGAAGGAGCCCGGGGTGGCACTTTGGGTCGCTAACATCAAAGTCAGCAGCACTTCGATCCCAGCAGCTTCTCCTTGGGGAGGCCCTCTGCCCCCTTAACGTTTTGCCTTCTCTGCTGTAAAGACAAGGGTGGCGAGGCTTCGTCTCATATGCTGTACTGTGGACATGCTGTCAGGAGAGAGCAGTCCCTGGAGAATGACATCATGCTTGGTGACCTGGAGGGGCAGCCCTCACGGAGATGGAGGAGTGGGCTCAAGCACAGGGACGGCTGTGAGGATGGCGCAGACTTGGGGAGTGCCCCTCTGTTGTGCATGAGGTTGCCATGGATTCGGACCGACGGGATGATGGTACCCTACAACAACAGTTACGAAGACTGGACGTGAGTCCGATGCGACGGAGTGGCAGTTGGTTTGGTTTTGTTGTTTTATCCTGAAGTGAACCTCACCCTAAGCACACTTTCACTGTCGTGTTGTAATTACCTGTTTTAATCACTTGCAGAGAGCGAGGGCTTACCATTTTAGCCGGCCCTTTGTCTATCCTGTCGTTATAAACTCCCCTGTATTAGGAGCTAGGTGTGAGAAGTCTGTTTTAACTGCGTCCAGGGTTAGGGTAAGTCACACATGGCCTTCAGTTTGTCTCTCATGTCCATGTCCTATGTCCATGTCCCTGATGAGCGCAGTGACAAACACTGCTTGGTTCCCCTTTCCATTGCCATCTCTGGTCATGAGCTGGGCTGCTTGTGTTTGGGTTTATTTTTTAAATTATTTTTATTGCAATCTTTGAGTTGGCTCCTGTGTCATAGAATGATTATAAATCAATGGATCCTTTAGCTGGTTATGTCTTGAATCTGCGAGCTCTCTGGATTTAGATATGAAGTGCCGTTCAATAAGCTCTTTCTGTTGTCATTCATTGGGGGGTGGGAGGCCTGTTGGGAGTGCCTCTTTGCTACTTGTGGTGTTGAATCAGCAGGAAGTAAGTTAAGTCTCAGCACTGGCGACTGTGACCAGGCTCTCTGAAAACCGGTTGTAACTGCTGCTCCTCTGGCCAGGGTGGCTTTCCGTTTTGTTGTTGTTGGTTTTTTGTTTCAGTTTGGTTTTTGAGTCGAGGGGTGGAGAACTTCTACGATTTCAGCCTGCTGTAATCATCGTGATAGAAAGGACAGTAGCCCAACAGACATGGTTGAAGTAAAGAGTGAGCTGCACTTAGAGATGATTTCGGTTATTCCAGTTAGATTCTCCTCTGTACCTTCAGTAAAGGTTTTACTTTTCACGTTAGAAAAGGAAACTCAAATCCCCCTTCAGTCAGCGGAAGCCCAGTGTGGCCATGGAACAATCCCTCCATTGACTTGATAGCCAGTTGGGGAGTTGGCCCTGTTCCTTCCACTCGCAGTTCTAGGGTGGCCGAACACGGACGGAGCTTAAAGATGCAAACAAGGACTAAAACTTTGCTCACGGTTTGCCTAGTAACCTAGAAGGTAGGTCTTCCCCTTTGCTCCCCCACTTGGGGCACCCGTCACTCCCAGTGTACTCGATGCTGTGCTCCTTGAGAAGAGCCCTGGGTGACACAAATGGTTTGCACTTGGCTACTAACCAGAAGATTGGCAGTTCAAATGCACCCACTGTGCCCTGGAGAGAGAGAGAGGGCCAGGTGATCAGTCTCTTGCCACACACGTCCTAGTGCAGGTCGAGCCTGAAACACTCAGGGGCACAGGCGGTGAAGGGGGTACTCCAGCAGAGGGGTTGGTTCTTTTTGTCTCTTTCAGTTCCTTGGGGGCGTTGTCCGCAGTCACACCTAGCTCAGGACTTGACCCTTTTCCCTTGCACGTTTCTTGCCTAGGAGACCAAGACCAGACTCCCCGCCACTGAGTCCCCTCTGACTCCTAGTGACCTGTAACAGGGGGTGAGGCCTTGGGTAGCCAGAAGTTCCTCTCTCGCGGGCCGTATATCCCCTCCCTCCATCCCTCCTGCTCAGCTGAGAAATTCTGCCGGCATGTCACCGCTGAACAATCAGCTCTATCAGAGTAACGAGTGTCCCGTGAGTCACAAGGCACAAAAGACAGTTATTTTGAATGGAAACTCTGTCCCCATTGGGTAGAAAGAGTTTATTTGGGGGTACTGCTATGCATTTCAGCTTGAGTACCTCCAGATTTCTCTGGATGGAGTCATGTCACCTGAGTGTGAACTCCCTCCCTGCCTGTTTGGTAAAAGTGATAGCAGCTTTTCTTTGTGAGTGCTGAGCCTGCCCCGTTGATGAGAGCAGCTGGTTACTTTTTCTTAGTACTGAAACATTTCTGAGAGAGAGAAATACCCTGGAATTTGACTAGTCTTCTTCCAATGTGTGCCCGCATGCACATGTGTGTAACCCTTTTTTTCTACATCAGTGCCACTGCCATTCAGTGGAAGAATCAATAGGCTTTGGTACTCCCAACGGTCTTTTCTAGAAATTTTGTCTGCAGAATTGTAGCTATAAAATGTACATCCAGCGAAAGTCAGTCACTCCCGAGCGAGCTGGGCGTCTGACCGCTCCACGAAGTGCCACCGTGCTGAGATAGCTGTGCACGGACATATCTAGGGACGGGGTTCACCCAAGGCCTCACCTCCTGGTAGCCCTTTCATACCGGGTCTCCTTTTCCTCGCCACCCCTCCACCTGTGTCTTCAGCTGGAGACAGAAGTCCCTAGTCTTGTGGGCAAGGTTTGTTGCCGCCTCCTCTGAGGGAGCCCATGTAAGGGTGTCTGAGCCTCGGTGCTTCAGTTAACAGGAAGACTGCTTACCTCACCCTGTTACTTCTTTCGTCCTGCCTCTCCTTCCCCGAGGGCAAGCAAGCTCCTTCATCCTCCACATCTAACTAAGGTCTTCAGAGGTTTCCAAACTTAATTGGCCTAACACCCTCTTTCCAGAAGGGAAAAAAATTACTCAGCACCCCTGGCAAAACTTTGTACTATAACTCAAAAACCAAGGATTAAAGTGGAGGTGGTAGGTACCTGCTTCTACAGCCCTCCTGAAGCCTTCCAGTGTGCCCCCGACCCACCCTCCCCACTCCTACCCCACCCCCACCCCCGCCGGAGCGTTCACCTTGGGAAACACTGCCTTAGATGAGAGTCGGCCAGTCTTTCAAGGGTCTGCTGAGGAGGCTGTAGCTTCCCACAGACAAATCTGATACGGATGGGTGATGCTCTTTGGACTGTTCCTAGAGCCAACCCACTCTGTGACACTGTTTCATAACGTGGAATAAAGTCCCCACGTACAAGTCGTTTCTTCAAAACACTGCTAGGTTCTGCTGTCAACAGTGTGGAGCATACAGACCGGACGCCAGCCTCCAAGCCTGCTGCTCCGTATCGGAGGAGGCCTGGGCAGTGTAGTCACAGCAAGATGTCACGAGATTGCGTCAGTGCTCCTGCACTAGGAACAACCAAAATGCAGCAGAGAAAGCCGGCCCACGTGGTTGTGAGATCTGGTCTGAGCCTGGGAAGATTTGAACAGTACCGGAGAGGGGCCGCAACAGTGAGAGAAGCACAGTGAGGCAACGAGCTTGGCTGAACTGAAGTGCTTCTCTAAAAGAGCTGGTTAGGCTGTCAAGTGCTGTGGAGTGGGTCCAGGTCAAAGCAACCCCGTGCACAACAAACCCAAACGCTGCTCAGTCTTGCGCCCTCCTCACCACTGATGTTACGTTTGAGCCCATTGTGACCACTGTGGCAGCATCAGTCTGTCATTAGGCATCTTCCTCTTTTATACTGTCCCTCACTTTACCCAGCATGGTTGTTGCCTTTCTCCAGGACCCATCTCTCCTGATGACATCGTGTCCAAATACGTGAGACAAAGCCTTGTCTTGTCCTCCTGTTCTCAGGAGCATTCTGGCGCTCCTTCTTCCAAGGCTTTAATGTTCATCCGGCATTCCCATGGGAATTTCTTCATCAACTTCATATTCAAATGCGTTCATTCTCCTGTGAGCTTATTATTGGTTGTTCAGCTTTCACCTTCATACGAAGCCATTGAAAACCCCATCGCTTGGATCAGCAGCACCCGAGTCCTCAAAACGTGGCGTCTTTACTCCTTAACACTCTAAGGAGGTCTTTTGCAGAATATTTGCTTAATGCAATAAAGCCCACTGCCATGCCAGCATCCTAGCCTGTCGCTTGTGCCTGGAGCGTACTGCCTCATCTTGAACCACCAGCCTCACAGTCAGCATCCCGGCCCTAGCTCACCACACAGTCCGTCGTCTGCTTCCTTGACAGTTGCTTCCGTGAGTGTTGAGAGCAGACCCAGTAAAATGAAGCTCCAGACAGCACCCGTCCCCTGTTTCCCACCATGGTGCCTTTCAGCCCAGCTGTTGGTTTTCTTCACACCGAGTTGAAAACCGGACTAAAAGCAGTGATCCTTGATCTTCAGCAGTCAGTGCTTCAAGTCCTCTTTGCTCTCAGGAAGCTGTGTTGTGTCCTCTGCAGATCACAGGTTGTTAGTGAATCTTCCTCCAATCCTGATACAGTCCAGAGTCTGCAATTACTTGCTCAGCATTCGGATTGAATACAGATTGAATAAGTATAGTGGCACACACCTTTCCTGATTTTAAAGCACTTAGTATCCCTTTGTCCTGTTTCAATAACTCCTTGGTCTGTAAAAGAGCAAGTGGTGGTAAAGGGAAACAGAACCCCTGTCTTTGCCTTGACTTCTACCATTAGTGATTCTGAATAGAGTTTCTGAGGCTCTACATTTTCCCCCCAGTCGACTTACATTTACTGTACAAAGAAATAAATGGTTCATGGGGAAAAGACATGGGCGTGGCGCCAGCAGCCATGAGGGTGGGGTCAACTCGGGCAAGGCTGCGAGGGGCTCTGCCCCAACTCCCAGGAAGGGGCCCACAAGGGGAGCAGAAAAATACGGACCGCTTCAGGAATGTGCATGTCATCCTTGCACAGGGGCCGTGCTCACCTTCCCTGTATCGTTCCAATTTTAGTCCATGTGCTGCGGAAGCAACCACGGGGCTCTACATTTTTAGGGAGCAAATAGCCTCCTCTTTCTCCCAAGGAGTGGCTAATGGGTCCGAATCATTAGCCGTCCCAACATTTGGTCAGCAGTCCCAACATTTATTGGCCAATACCATCAGGCCTTCTGAAATGGACGATTAAGAACTCAGTGCTGTCAAGTCCATTCTGACTTACCGCGACACTAGGGCTGGGTCGAACTGCCCTGCGGACTGACATGGACTGGTGCTTTCGAACTGCTGATCTTGTGGTTAGCCGCCCCATGCGTAACCACATGGCCAAATTGAAACAACTGGATACAAACTAAGGGCGAGTTGGATTTACCAAAGGTTACTTAAGATGTTTTTAACCGCAAAACTGCGCTTGTTGAAGGATTTGGAGTCACTGAATAGATTGAGATTAAACAAGTCCAGGTTTAAGGCAGGACACCTGGTCTTCAGGTGGGCTGGGTCTCTTGACCCACACTGGACTCAGCTGTGGTGACAAGGTAGGGGCACTTGCTGTTCCATTGGGTGCAGCTTGTTCATATGCAAAGGGCAATGTGAAAATCAGACTTTTACCAAAGAAATTTTGTTTAAGAATTGAGGGATTCCCCCCCCCCCTTGCCCCTTCCTTGCTCCATCCTCTTTATTTCTTTTTCTTTTACATCTTTTTTCAAAGGACACAGTCTAGTGCCTCTCACTATTATGATGCTAATACTCAGAAGATAGCCTTGGCCAACAGATGCCTGTAAGATTCTTTAGTTTGATAAATAGAATCCTTTAAAAATCAAGGATTTTTTAGGATACCTGGAGCCCCAGGAAAATGAGGCTTCTGGAAATAGCCATTTCAAAGGAAACAAGATTCATCTCTCCACGGCAGATACTGACTTCCACTGCAAGGTTCATCGCCATGAGATGAGAACCCCTCTGAGTTGATATCGTTAGATTTGATAATCCTTATAGGAAGTGGTAGCTTTTTGAAAACCATTTAATAAGACAGCACAGTCGAATGGCTGCACAGACTTTCATACATCTATCAAAATTCTGGAATTTGTTCCCCCTAAATGGCATTCTGGTACTTCACCACGATCCAGGTACATGCCTTCTTGGCTCACATGGGTAAAGGGGCTTTTCATGCTCATGCCCGCCTGCCACAGATGGAGACGTGCGCTTGACGGTCTCTGTGGGGCCAGACCAAAGAATAGCTAGGGAGTTGCTTCCGTGGAGTGATTCTGACTCCCAGGGACCCTGCCCCAGGGGGTTTCCCAGCTTGATCTTTAGGGACACAGGCCCGGTAAGGCTTTCCCCAAAAAGAGTGGCTGGTGGATTCCAGCTGATAACCTTTTGATGAGCGGTGAAGCTCTTAATCCCACTGCACCATCAGGGACCTTCGTTACTGATGCTCCTTTAAGCTGCTTGTCTCGTCATTAGAATGCAGCATAGCTTATCTGCAGTGTGGGTGGTTTTCATGCACAGCAAACAGCAGAGTCAAGATGTTTTTCATGTTGAGCAAAAAAATTCAACAGATGGAGGTGACGATTGTGAGGCAGCTATTTAAGTGTGAGTAATGGAGCCGTGTAGCTTGCTGAGCGGGCCTAAGAGGGGGGAGTCTAAGATGTTGAATCTGTAGAGACAGTAGCCAGATTAATAGTTTCTTAGGGTTTGGGCAGGGGCTATTGGGGGGAACACGGGGCTCATAATGACACAAGAATGAGAAGGGGCTTGGTAATGGAAAAATTCCATCATCTTCTAATTCTGTTCCTCCACAAGCTTTCTGAAGTCTCCTACCCTGTTTCCCTGAAAATAAGACAGTGTCTTACATGAATTTTTGCTCCCAAAGATGCGCTAGGTCTTATTTTCAGGGGATGTCTTCTTTCTCCATGAAGAAGAATACAGTACACATTTATTGTTTATTGTTTTATTAAAAGAGACCTCGCACTTCCTGTCTGCTCCAGCTGCGCTGATTGGCGGCACCTGCCGCTATGGTCCGGAGTGCAGAGTTACGGTAGCTTGGGGGTGGGTGTGGGTGTGCCTTATATTTCAGCGAGAGGCAAAACTGTTAAGTCGGTCTTACTTTCGGGGGATGTCTTACTTTCGGGGAAACAGGGTATGTATCAGGAAATGGAAGGATATTGATTGTAATCCAAGCTAATGTACTTTGACCCCCAGCCAGGGCCCGGATGAACCAAGCCCACTGCCACAGAGCAGCCCTGTTATAGAGGGTTCCCAAGGCTGTGAATCTGTCGGGGAACAGACAGCCTCCCTCCTCTTTCTCCTGCAGAGTGCTGGTGGTATCACTAGAATTCGTGAGTCTGTCTTCAAGTCGTGGCAGTGTGTGGAACGCTGCGCTGATGGCTGGATTGATTCGTAAACTGGGGTCTTACACTAGAATACCAATACCGTAGCTGGATACTCGAAGATAGGGAAACTCACCATCTTGCATTGAGTTTCTGTACATCAAGGAACTGGCGGTTAAAACACTGAAATCTCACTGCCGTCGATGCCGACTCATGGTGAGGACAGGGCAGAACTGCCCTTGTGGGTTTCCGAGACTGGAACTGTTTACGGGAGCAGAAAGCCCCATCATTCTCTCAAGGAGGGGGTGGCAGCCCAATCATAACCGCTACACCACAGGGATCCTTTTAGAAGCGTAACTGTTGCTTTCTTTCCTACCAGGCACAGATGCTCCCTCAAGGTAACTTTGGGGTGTTTGCTTCTCAAATTGACCTCTCTCTGGGCAAAATTTCCCCTGAAGGCATGTAAGCATTACCCATGTGTGTTGAAAGGTTCCGTAACTGTCAGGGAAACTGCGAGGTATATTTCTTTTTATTTTTTAATCACAGGTCCTTCTGTTTGTTCTTTTATACAAAGAGCCTTCAGAAAGTTTGTAGAAAAAGTCTCCTCTCTTTTCATTCCATTTTTTTCCAGTCTATTTGAAGCCCTCATGTACAGACAAAACAGCCCCAAATTTCAAACTGCAGCAGTGTATAATAAAATGCTTAGGTATTGTTTTCAGATACCCTTTCTCTATAATTTACATAGAAAATTAAATACCATTCCTCTGTCTCCCAGTATTATTCTAGATGGGACAAGGCAAGGGAATTAACTACTGTAGTCTTTGAGCTTGGCACTGAAAGTATTTTTTCAAGGAAGTCTTGCACTTGTGTGTTTTCAGAATAAAACGAGTAGTCTGAGGCTTCTGATTAATGTTTATTACTACTTGTGCCCTTTGAGACCCTACATCAAAGACACAGAATTTTGTGTGGTAAAAGTCATTTCCCAGGGATTGCCAACTTTTTTGTGGGCTAATACTTGTCAATGTTTAAAGCAAAATATTAAGAGTTAAGTGGGCCTACTGAGACAATGGAATGTAGCACATGCTGTTTGCTACACAGCTGATTCTATTTTCTCATTTAACCCCTCAGTCACCCTGCGAGGGAGGGGAGCAGTACACCACTGCATAGACCAGGAGCATGCGCCTCCCTCGTGGTGCAGTGGGGTAAGTGCTGGGCTGTTGGGGGCACAGTTGCCAGTTGAAGCCCCACCACCTGCTCCAGGGGAGAAAGATGAGGCCGTGTACTCTGGTAAAGGTTCCACCACGACAGAATCCCTAAGAAACACTTCTCTGCCCTGGCAGGTCGGTGGGAGTTAGAGTCCGCTCATGGGCAGTGGTTTGGTTGGGTTCTTAGAGGCATGGAAAGCGAAATTCAGAACTGAAATTTGGTCTCCTGCGTTCTCACCGTGAGATCAGGCAGTCCGCCTGAGATCTGAGAAGCTAAAACTTTACCTCTGCCCACCCCACCCTTTCAAGGAAAAGTTCAAGTTGGTATTGGTCATCATAAAAAGTGGGTGTTCTTTTGCGGGGTTGGGGGTGGGGTGCTGTGGAATCAGGAGCTGGGACGGGAAGGCCAAGTGTCTGTGCTCCGGGGAAGGATGCTGCTGTGATCGCCTTCTCCTCCAAGGAGCAGGCTGGGCTGCATGCCACCTGCCTTGATTGTCCTGGTGTGAGGGGCGTCGTGTTACTGTGACTGAGGTGTTTCCAACATACCATTGTAGTGTGCACAGGGAAGAGTTCCCATACAGGGCGTGCACCGAGAACACTGGCACCCCCAAAGCCCCGGTTGTGTCCCCAGGGTCCCCCCAATGGATGATCCTCCTCACATCTGTCTTCGTCCCTTAAGTTTCTTCCTGATTTGGGCCTTAACACTGTTTTCAAAGTGTGGGCTTTTTTTGTTTTTCTGGTTCCCCCTTTCGGTCCCCATGCCCCCCTCCCCCAAAAAGTGCCACCGAAACCTCCCTCTTCCTCCTTTCACCATCTCATCTCTTGAACAATCTCCGTCTGTCAGCCTGCCATCACCCCAGAGTGCTGTGTGGCTGTAGGGCCCTGAACATGAGGGGGGTCCAGGAGAAACTGCAGACTGGGAGGAGAAGGAGCTCGAGGTCCCTAGGAGTGCTTGTAAAGGTGACAGGTCACACCTGCTGTTGTGCCCACTCCCCTGGTGGGGGTGGGTGCGAGTGAGGGGTGGAGAGCTCGTGGTGGGGAAGTGGCAGCAGGGCAGCTTCTGCTTTCTCAGCGCTCCCGCCAGGCCTCACAGCGTTATTTGTGAACTGGATGGTGCCTCGATTCCAGTACTGAACATTGTGATCGAAGGTGTTGTAGAAGGATCCTGCTCAAAGGGGAGAAATGCAGACAGAATGGCACAAGCTCAGAGAATCCAGACTGGAGCTGCGGAGCCTGGCCGAGCCCGAAACAGTTGCCCTGAGATATCCTTACACCTGACACCAAGAGTAACCCCGGAAGCCTTCTCAAAGCCGAAATGCGGTTTAGTTCAGCTAATAAAAAAATGTCTCTCTTGAGCCTTGTGCTCAGTTGGGTCACCGCTGTCATTGGCTCTGACTCGGCATCTCCGTGTACAGGAGCAGAGAACACGCCTGGTCCTGCGCCCTCACAGTGCTTCTGTCTGAGAGGCCATGGTTGCAGCCACCGTGTCCGTCCATCTCATGGATGAGTTAGTTGCCCCTCCACTGTACCGAGCATGTTGTCCTCCAGGGACTGGGCTCTCCTGACAGCATGCCCACAGTACGGGAGGCCAAGTCTCACCATCCTTGCCTCTAAGCTTCCTGGCTGCACTGCTTCCAGGACCAGTTGTTGTAGGGTCACATCTATATCAGCAATTTGAGAGATTAGCTAGGAACCTTGGGGGCTGTGAGTGTCTGTCGATGGAGGAGCAGCAGCTGGGGAACGGAGGTGAGAACGGTCGCCCCGCCAGAGGAGTGGCATCCGATGTGAGGAACAGAGGGATTTCTCTTAAATTGTCTCCCCAAAATATATGCCAGACTTAACTTGAGAATGACTGTTCTTTAGGCAGCGAAAATAGGTCAGAGGTTATTCTCCCTAACATCAACCATCAAGAGTGGATTGGGAGTCATTCTCACTGAGAGGTATCAGCTGTCTAGATCAAGCAGACACCACTGCTTAACCCACAACAAATAGGGCCCATTCCTTTCTGTAATTGTTCCCTGAAGCAGTGCCCAAAGGCAAGCCCGGGACCACTCTAAGATGACTACGTCATCCCCCTCCTGTTGCTTGTATTGCCTATGTTACAACCCCTCTCTATGACGCAGGTTGTTGTGAATTGTATTGCCCCTCTCTGTGATGCATGATGCTGTGATGTATCCCCCTAAAGCAATATGATGCGTGGTTAGCAATAAATGAGGCTCCCTGGTTCTCGGAAGGGTGGCTGGCCGAGGGTGGCTGGCAGAGGGCGGCTGAAGAAGGGGGGCTGCTCCCATGAGGGCGGTGGACGAGAGGGCAGCTCCCGCGAGGGAGGCGGCTCCTGCTCTGGCAGCCGGGTTCCCCCCACGAGGACCACCAGGGGGGCAGAGGTGAGCAATGCTACCATGTAATATGTCTGACTGTGTTATTGTATTATCTCTCATGCTCTCGATGACTTTAATATAATGTTTATATATCTCAACCGTACAATTGTGCATTACTGAACCCAGAAGTAGTATTACTGAACCAGTGAGTTCAAGCAGTGGGTGGGCCTGGCACCCCACTCCCCTGAGCCATTTTTAATTTTATACTCCAATCCAAGGCACTGGGTGGAATGTGTGGACACTCCTTGTTGTGGGTTCTTAACGACAAAAGAAGGAACGACCACACAACCGAAGAAATACAGAATACAAAGTAGCTATCTTTATGAAGGATGTGCCCGTATTTGTGGATACACGTGCACCCCTGTGATTCTGGTCTCCTGTCCTGCTTCACCTTAAGCATGTGTTCATTGGTATTCTGGGCTGTTTTCTGGATTAAACACCCAAGTCAGAGTTCCTTTCTCGATATCTTTAAGTGATCTCACCACCGTTTCTAGGCCTGCATAAGCAGACCTTTGCCGCCTACCGGACCGGCCTCTTTTAAACCCTGGAGTTAGGCTGCTGAGGTCACACAGCAACCCCAGGGCTACCTGCGCGAGTGTTACTCTGCACACGGGGGTTTTCCAGAGAGCCAGTATTCTCGATCCTTTACGTGCGTAGAGCTGTACATTAATGAGACAGAAACATAGCAAGTCATCCCACATCTCTAGCTTCTGCAGGAAGCCCAGCCTTCTTTGTCGCCAGGCGTGTTCATCTGTCAAGAGAGCAGAGCTCGCAGCTGTGGGGTCTCCTTTACGGAAGGAGGGCACTTTTTCAGGGAAGTGACTTGGCTCTTCTTGAATGTACCAACTGCATGAATTGCTGCCTTGTAAAATGGTTCTCTTCTCTGAGGTTATTGGCCCTAAAGCCACGCTGGTCTGTTCTGAGACATGGCCTGAGACTATACTGCTGCTTAACTGGGTCACACCCAACCCCTTGTCAGCCTTTCTCTCAGGAAATCTCTCCAGCAGGTGTGCCCTCCCCCAAAGAGCCTTGTGGGGGTGAGCTCTGAGCTGCTCACCATGAGGTGTCTGGGGTTCGAGTCCTCTAACCACCTGGCAGGAGAAGGGTGCCAGCCTGCTCTGTGTCGATGGCAGCTCGGTGCAGGGCAGGCAGCTCCACAGCAGTGGGTGTGGCTGGCTGTTGTTACACCCTCACCGTTTCTGGGAGTTCGTCTGACATTTTGGAAGACTCTTTCATATAATTTTAAAAATAATAAAATAAAATAAATATCTTAATCATGAATGAAAAAAAAAAAAGGCCAGCCTTTGGATTTACATGGTTGGGTGTGTGCGTGCGTGTGTGCTGAATCGTCACTATGAGAAGATGGTGCTGTGTGATTGTGAGGCGTTTGATAATGTCTTCAAGCTCTCACTTTGGGTATTACACAGAACCTGGCCCGAGCAGCCTTTAAAATATACCTTTACCTTCGTGATAGTGAAAACCCTCTTTGGTGCCTGGTGCGTGCCCGTGACGGCACCCTCCTGCAGCTGCCCCTGGCGAACCTCCCTCCTTCAGCACAGTCCTGTGCTTTTGAAATGATGAGTGTGTTCTATATAGATTATTTTGTGGACATCTTTTTGATATTTAATAAAATAGAGCTAGTTTCAAAATACGTATATGATACTTAGAAAGTCCTCGTTGAAACTGTCAGTGTGAAAAAAAAAAAAAAGAAAAAAAAAAAGAAACTGTCAGTGTGTGCATGAGGAGTCCCCAAACTGCTGTGTTGCGCTTAGCCATTCATGTTGACTAGCTCTGGCGGGCTCTGCTGTCTTCCATCAGTCAACCTGGTGACGCCCACTCACTAGGCCAGAGGTGGGGGTGCATCATAGAGGTGGCCCAGCCAGGTACAACTGTGGGAGCTCCGCCCCAGTCGAGAAGTGAGTTAGCAGTTATCGGAGTCATCTTTACTGCAGCTTGCTCTTGCTCTCTGTTGGGTCTCCCCTTCCTGCTGCTGTCTCTCACTTTGAAATGGCTCTGTAGGCGGCCCCTACCCAGGCGGCCCTTTCTGGGACAGCTGTGAGTGCAGCACTATTAGCAGCCTGGAGAATTCCCTCTGCAGGGGCTGGCCCATGGTCACCGCGTGTCGTGTCAGTGAGCCATCCCTGTGCTGCTTCTGTTCACGTTTCCACTCATGCTCTCGCAGACCTGATTCCTGTGCGCCACACAGTGGGACAGCCTTCTCTGCCAGGAAGCGGGTGTGGGGTGAGGGTGAGCACTCTTTGGGGATCTGGAGGCCCGGGTATGATTGTTACCCCGTAGGCTTAGGGAGTGAGTCTTTTCACTGAGGCCTGTCTGTACATCTCAGAATGAGACGGCTCTGTTCTGTGAACCCAAGTTTGCTCCTGAATCGTACTGGAGGTGCGTGTGGGAGGGACTCCAGCGTGGGCCTGAGCCCAGTGGGGCCCTAGGGGAACCAGACACCGTGCAGCTCCCCAGATTGGGGGTTAGGAGGTGGCACGTGGCTGATCCAGACAGGTGATGGCCTCGGGGACGCTTTTCCGGAAGCCCCGAGGCCTCTTAGAGACCTCTCCCCTGCTTTCCTACCGAGGGCCAACACTAACTGTCTGGGAGTTCCAACTGTCCTGTCCAAAGTGTCTTGGTCATTCTAGGTATCAAGAGCTTAGCATAATCCCGGCAGTTTGAATTCATAAGAAGTCTCACCTCCGTGTGGCTGTTCATGCGTCTAAAAGCACCTTTTACCCGACCGACCTGGGAGGACAGCCTTTGTTCTCGCTGCTGCCCTTCAGAAGGAGAAGGAAATGGATGCTTGCTTTAATTTCCCCTCTCGTCTCTGTGTCTCCTTCAGGTCTTGAACGAAGAGTGTGATCAGAACTGGTACAAGGCCGAGCTCAACGGGAAAGATGGCTTCATCCCCAAGAACTACATAGAAATGAAACCACACCCGTAAGTGGGTCATGGTAGTCCCAACACCCACCCACTTGTTTCTAATCCTATTCCTGCCCCCCCCCCCTTCATGGAAATGGCGGGCGAGGGGAGGGGGCTGTCACCCTCTCATTCTCTTCCCAGCAGATAAGCAAAGCACGTCCACTGGGGTGCAGTCGATGGTTGTCTATGGTGTAGGTTGCTCACCTACCATCAAAGGCTATGCCGCCCCACGGGGGCGCTGGGGCAATCCAGGCAGGGGCTGCAGAAGCAGATAACACCCTTCACCCTAGGTGGTGATGGCCTAGAAGTGTTTAATCAACCAGGAGTGGGGGGTGGGGGGATGGGGGGGTGCAGGCATTGAGTCTTTTTAATTTTGTTTCTGAAAATGAGTTGATTGGCCAAATAAGTTTGGGAGCCTATAAATCAAAGACTGAAATCAGAAGTGAGTCAGGCAGGTCTCCGTGGTTCCTTATAAAGCCTTGGGGTCTGGACAGGTTTCACAGTCCTGCGAGCACTTGTCGCTTGGACACGCCCTTCAGGTTGGAGCATCAGCTTGTCATGAGCGAGTGGGTAGTGCCGCCACACCTGCCTCACTGTGCACGTTGAGTGGGGGCGGGTGGTGAAAATGGCTACAGGCTACTAACCTCAAGGCAGGGCACGTTTACCTCAATTGGATTGCCGGGTAACTTTCCAGAGCTCTAGATTTCAAAATTGTAGGTAAGGGATAGGTGGGCCTCCCCCTCTGAAGCCCAGAAGCCTAGATCATGTACTGCTTAAACAAAAGGCCTGCTCTAAGTGACCCTATTGCCTATGAGAGGGGGAATTGCATCCCTTTTCTTTGGAAAGTGGCCTCGCTAGATTGGAAGTATCAGGGTCTCAGTTCGAAACCACCAGCCCCTTTGTGAGAGAAAGACGCGGCTTAGGAGTCACAGTCTCAAAAAGAGCGACCGTCTCAGAAACCCACAGGGGCCATTCTCCCCTGTCCTAGGGGTCAACATGGATTTGATAACAGTGAGTTGAATTGGGGACCACGAACGGGGCCTTCTCAGTGCAGTCATCCACGTTTGCTTTGGCCCCTCCCCAAGGTGCCAGCCAGCATGCCCAGGACACAGGCCTGTGCTTCAGGTGCTGTGCTAGTTGGCGCTTTCCCAGTTGCGTGTGCAGGTGTGAGTGCCCTGTGGAGCCATGTCTTCGTCATCTTTGTGCCCCCAAGCACAGTGCTTGGCACATAGTAGGCCCTCAGTAGCTGTTCATTAGAATAGAGCAGTCCCGAGCAGGGAGCCACGGTGGGTTCATACTAATAGGATCCCCACAGTGAGCTCCCCTGGGCCTGGACCTGCACACAGTGCAGAGCGGAGCGCTCAGGGTCAGGACAGCACACCAACTACGGGGACACAGACAGCAGTGGCTCCTTTGTGTCCATGTTACTCTTTGCCCTGCAGATTAGGAACTAACCAGTATCCTTGCTTCCCCGTCAGCCATTTCTGATGCACACTCCGTGGTAAAGAGCGGCCTGTGAGCCCTCACGCCACTCTCACAGCAGCAGTTGCGTCAAAGGCGACAGGTGAATCGGGGAGGCCTCCTTGCCCAGAACATTGGGGAGCCCCACCGTGAAACCTCCTGTTTGGCCGGAGCCTAGGAGCACTGGCCCTATGGGTGGCCTGTGTAGGTGCCCAGAGTCATACCATGTCGTGAAGTGAGGGGTTCTATGAAGCGCTTTGAAATGATGGCCAGGAACCTCAGCCAGGAGAGCTAATAATGAGAGGGTGTGCGCCCCTCCTTGAGCCTGGGAGGTGCCCAAGGAAATGATGTCACTTTACCCTGAGCAGAATCGGGGATCTCCCACTGGCTCGGTAAGGGTTTCCTAGAATCACTTACAGAATACAAGCCAGTCCCCCACTAGGGGATATTTCCTAGCTTTTATTTGTAGCTTCCGTGAACAGGGACGGCTGCCGTCGAGTTGGTTGCTGACTCCTGCCAGACTTTCCTTCCCAGGCCCCTCTAGGTGCCTGACCTCAGGGCCTCCTACTTCTCCATGCTCTCCGTCTTAACTTGGGCCCTGCTCCTGCCACTTCTGTAAACGCTCTTAAGTTGATGCCCAGGCACCGGTTTTTACACAAAAATCTGAATCAGAATGTTGAGGATGATAAAAACCAGAAGCACAAAGATCTTCAGAGGCTCATATTGGAAGAGGGCCGGGGCCCTTCCCAGTGGGTGAGCAGATAATGCCCTCATCTGGCCCCTGGCCCCTAAGATTAGGTTATCACCAGCCACGCCCAGGCTATGTGCAGGCAGCTCGGTGGCAATGACTAAGAAGAACAGGAGGCGATTGCAGGTTTCCTGTAGGGGTACCGAGCCCAGCTGTGCAGTGGCTTTATCCGGTGTGGGGGTGGAGGTGGGGGATGATTGCTGGAAGGGGCTCCATGAGCCCCGCAGAAGTCAGGAGGTTGTGGGTGTCCCCTCCTTCCTGCCATTCCCAGAGTGCAACCCTCATGAGTTGGCTGAGCTTTCTGACAGTTCACACCCACCCACCCAGCAGCTCCATAAAAGAACAGCCTCTGGTGATCTGCTCCCTTGAAGGTTAACCCACTGCTGAGTCAGTTCACACTCAGAGTCAGAGGAGCCCTGGTGGCCTCCTGACTCCGAGTGGGGTTGTGCGACCTGCAAGGTCAGCGGTTCGAAACCACCAGTGGCTCTGCAGGAGAGAGGAGGGCCTCTTTTATGCGCAGTAAAGAGCGACAGCCTAAAACCCACAGAGGTGGGTTTGCCCTGTCCTACAGGCTCGTTCTGTGTCGGGTGCACTCGCTGGCAGCAAGGTTTCTTTGAGTTAGACAGGTGGGACTGCCTGTTGTTTCCGAGGCTGCCAGCCTCTGGCTCAGAGTCCTTACTGTTCTTCCAGCTGTGTTAGGTAACTGTTGTCGGCGTTCTTAATCGGGCTGTTAAGAAGATGGGGAAGGGCGCCTGCCTCAGTGAGGGGCCATTCCTGACCACTTTCTGGGTCCCTCCTGGTCATTTTGGTCCCACCAGCAGGACGCTGTACCTGTCTCTAAGTCTGCTGTCTTGTCAAAACAGACCATGGCCTTTGTGGACCCGCATGGGACGATGGCACACTAACTGGACGTCCTAAGTGAAGTTGATGGCTGGGGTGGGGCAGAGAATACTGGGCGAGGGGCCCACCTCTTCTGTTGGTGAGCCGGGGAGCAGATGGGACAGACCAGGAAGTGACGGCTGGTTTCAGCATTGCACCTCGAGGTGTGGGTGCTGCTGGGGCTTTTCCTATGAAACGCACACGATGCGTGCTGATGGGCTGTAGGAAAGGACCAAGCTGGGGGACCCATCATGTCGCCTGCCTTTGCCATCTCAGTAGAATAAACCCTCTTTTTTTAAAGAGTGTAAAGCTTTGTTCTGGCCACAAGGTCACACAATGCCACCCTCAGAAGAAACTGACGGAACGGCAGCTGGGTGAGCGCTGCCGACACGGAAGGACGTGGCGCAGGGCCGGAGCTGAGAGTGACCACTGGTCGTCACGCACAGCTGCCCCTCCTGTTGGTGAGGCGTCCTTTAGCCAGAGAGCTGAGCCAAATACTGTCTTTGTTAGATAAAACGGTCCCCACACTGAGTTTCGACTTCTTGTTCTGGGTGCTCAGCATGTGCGTGGCCTTCCCCTTGGAAGCATTCCAGTAGAGCTTGTTTTCTCTGCGGACCGTAGACTTCGCCGCAGCGTGTTCTAGGAGTGAGTTGGTTTAGAGCCGGCCCTGTAGCCTGTCGATGTCTGTCTGTAGGTGGGGGCGGAGTGGGGGCGGGGTTGTCCGCAGGCGCCTGGGGACTCGAGGGGGCATCGTGCTGTGTATTTCCATCACATCACATCTCAGTCCTTTGGTTCCCGTGGGTCACTTGGTTCCCGTGGGTCACTTTGTCCCGACTGCCAGTCAGGGAGGCGGGAGAATGTGGCTGCTGAGTGGGGGGCAGCTGTGTGGTCACGGGCTCTGCCTGCCCCCACCTACCCACTCACCGGGCGCCCATTGATCCCGCCTACAGTATACACACGTCTTCACAGCCCACGCTCTCTGGGCACCTACGCAGCTTGTGTGCGGAAAACATCCAGCCCCTGTGCTGCATCCCCCCCCAACGCTGTACATCCCCACAGCCTGTGTGACCATACAGCCATGTAGAACACATCCCAGCACGTCGTGAGGGGCAGCACCCAGACGCCACAGGGAAGATGTGGGGGTTCTGCTGGTCGTCACGGGGAGACGTTCTCCCCTAGGCAGCAGAGGCTTCCCGTGGGAGCACGAGGGCGGGCATAGCGCACTAGCCCACCAGTGGCGGGCATCTGAGTGTGCACAACGAGAAAGGCAGGCAGGGGCGGACTGAGCACCCTTTAAATTGGTGGTCCTTCCTGGATGTGTTCTTCCCAGCAGCTCCCATCTCTGCTGGGATTCTAGCACAGTGTCATTCTAGAGACTTCTTACAGGACAGCTGCTCGTAAGTAACAGAGTTGTGAGTTGGAGCGTGAAGAGCCGTTTGGCATCTTTGGGATCATAGTTGGCATGGTGAATGACTAGTCAGTTGCCATGTGAGGCGGCTACGTCAAGCAGGTTAAGTAGTGATTGGCTAACAAGAGAGCTGTCTTCAGAATCCTATCCTCGGAGGTAACGGTGTCATTTGAAGTAGCGAGCTCTGGGACTGCGGCCCTCCGCTGTTCTCAAAGCCACCAGCCACTGGTGACCTTGTCTTCTGCAGAGTGTCAATAACTTCGAGAGAAAATTCTAAGGTTGTGAGGACCCAGGCTCCCTCCCCAAGCCACCTCATGCAGTGCCCGCCTTCGGCCACAGCAGTGGTTGTCCCCACAGCCCTATTCCCCGGTTCCAGGCCGTCCGGAGTCCGCTGGTGCCTTGTTCTTCTTTCCCCCTGGAGCAAAGCTGCCAGCTTGTCAGCCGGCTGCAGTGGGGGCCTGGCTCCCAGGCAGCGTCCTGTGCTGCGGCTCGGCTCCGTGGACGGGGCTTTCCCCGGCTTGTCTGATGAGTCAGGAGGAAGCCCACGGACTCGGCCCTCGCAGGCCCCTTTGCAGTGTCTTCCTCCAGCCATAGCAGTGGCCAAGAGTGTGCCTTGATGAGTCACCCTGTGTGTGGTGTGGGAGGAGGGACCTGACTGACCAGGGACAGGAGGGCAGAGAGGCCCCCTCTGGTCCTTGAGCTTCAGAGGCTGGCTCTCCCAGCCCTTTGTGGGGAAGCAGATGCTGACTGCTTGCCTTCCTTCCTTAGGTGGTTTTTTGGCAAAATCCCCAGAGCAAAGGCAGAAGAGATGCTTAGCAAACAGCGACATGACGGGGCCTTTCTTATCCGAGAGAGTGAGAGTGCTCCTGGCGACTTCTCCCTGTCTGTCAAGTAAGTATTTCCTGCCTGCCACTGCCCGGTGCCTGGAAGCCACACAGTCCCCCTCCAGAGTCCCAGGCTTGGAGCCCACGGGCTAAAGTGCCCCGCAGTGCCTCCCAAACTAGACCACTTCACAGCGCGCCCTCAGCTCTGTGCTCGCCGCACTGGGATGGGATCCCGTGAGGACTCCTCGCAGACCTAGCTCCCTCAGGTGGCGCCTGCCCGCCACTTAACCTTCATCCCTCCCATCTCCGTGCTGAGGATTCCTGCGGCTCGGAGCCAGCACCTCGGGGGCAGCTGCCTTTGCGCAGTGTTGCAGTGTTTTCGCTCACGGGGCCTCTCTCCCGGCGGTGAATTTGGATGGGGAAGGGGGCAAGACACGAGGAAGCACAGAGAACAACTCCAGGAGCTCCAAGGATCATAAACCAATCCTTCCTCTTCTTTGAAGGGTTTTGGATTACATCCCCATGTTGTTTTAATTCCTTGAACACTTCTCATAATACACTATTTCCATGGGAACCCCCCCTCCCCAGAAATCTTCCAGACCTCTCCAGGTATCTCCTCCAGGATCAAGGAGTGATCAGGTCAAAAACTCCAGCCACCATTAATTGTAAACAGTGACCCTTTTCAAATAAAGGCATGCCACAATTTTTTCCTCACTCTTTAAATGTAAAAATGAACTGACTGCCTTGCTTGGTCTTAGAACCTGAAATGTGGCTTTTCTTGACCATGCCGGCTTAAGTCTGCATCCCCCAGGCTCTTTTTCTGTCAGGAAACGAGCTGGTCTCCAGTGTGACCTACGGAGCACGCGTGTCGCCGCGCATCTCCCCACCCCGCCAGCCTGTGCTGCTGGAGGTGAGCGTGTGAGGGTAGTACTGGCAGTGGTCACCTCTGCTTGCTTTGGGGAACACTGGCCTGTCTGCTGTGGTTGTAGTTGTCAATACTCAGAGCTGCGCACATGCCAGCCCAGCAGCTTCTAGCGGTCAACTTGGGCGACAGTGAGGACAGTCTTTGAGTGTGCGCCCGAGGCTCCAGGCTCATCCTGGAGTGGCTCCTGTGGCCTTGTCGCCTGTAGGTGGACGTTAAGACCACGAGGCTGGGGACTGCTGTTCTTTACTGTGTGAGCACAAAGGTGATGTGGCTCTAAGAAAGCTTCAGGAATGCTTTTGGTGTGCGGTTCAAGGGTGATCTCAGGGCTCATCCAGCCTCCGTGGCTTCAGAACGTCTTGGCTCCGGGAGGACTCGGGGTGCCAGTCGGCCTGCTCTCCGAGTTTGGTCAGGGTGCAGTAGGGTCCTTGATGAGTTGGACTAGACGCCTGGAGTAGCGCGTCCCCAGACGGATTGGTGCTCCCTGTTTGTTCCCTGCATGTCGGGCATCGTCATCTGTGCCTCACTGAGGATGAGAGGGGCCACCCGGCAGGGCAGTCGGGGTCCCCTCGAGTGACAGATTAGCTGTCCCTTTGGTCATGCAGTAACTGAGGCGCTGATGCGTTTCATTTCTTGGTTTTGAACTAGACCATGAGCTGAGGTGACGACTGCCTTTCACAGCACAAAAGCCTCTGAAGAAGGTTCTGTGTAGCATCAGCAGTCTCGTTTGTTTATGTCTCTTGGTTCTGAGATGGCAGCTCAGACCCTCAAAGGCTCACAATGCCTGGTGGGAGCCTGCTGCTGCGGGGCCAGCAGGCCTTTGGTCTGTGGCTGGGAAAGCAGTGCAGGGCAGCTGGCCTCGCTCGGTTTCTCCCGTGGAGCTCAGTGCTGCCACCTGCTGGCTTGATTTTAAGAATCATTTGCTCTGTTTAAAGACCAAGGAACTGCTCATTCAGTTAGCGCTATTTATAGTGTGTAGCTCCCCCTGAGCTTGGCCCTGCCATAGGCAGTGAGGACACAGAGTGACCAGGACAGCAGAGGGGACAGCCGCAGAGTGCCTGTGTTCTGACCAGCTCTCACTGCGACAGAGCCGTGGGCTCGTGCTGGGTGTGCTGGCCACTAAACGAGGCTGTGACCAGGTGACAGGGAAGCCTTTCTCTGGGGCCTTTTACTGCCCCGGGCTCTGTAGTTCCAGGGCATTCCCCGATGGGAAGAACACAGACCCGAGTGGTGGCCGTGCCTTTGATCTAGGCCCTGTCCGGAGAAGGTTGGCAGTGAGTCCAGCGCCCCCTCCCCCCACCTTTGTGCTCTTTAAATAGCCCACAGTGTGTTATTTTTTGCTCATAAAGCAACTAAGTCATGCTTCCCACCTGAACTAAAACTCCCTTTTATTTGCTGCAGGGTGTGCGGGAAATGTCGTGGTTTGGGCCTCTTCTGTTTCACAGAGCGGTGACGGCAGGTGACAGGAACCTGCCCCAGTGTCCTCTGTAACCTGTGCCCTGTCTCCCCAGGTTTGGCAATGACGTGCAGCACTTCAAGGTGCTCCGAGACGGGGCTGGCAAGTACTTCCTCTGGGTGGTGAAGTTCAACTCCCTTAATGAGCTGGTGGACTACCACAGGTCGACCTCCGTCTCCAGAAACCAGCAGATCTTCCTCCGGGACATAGAGCAGGTGCCACAGGTGAGGCTGCTTTACACCCGCCTCAGCCCTGAGTCACGGCACGTGGAAGGGCCCCGCTGGTGGCTCAGCTGGTTAAGATTGGGCTGCTCACTCAGGGGTCAGCAGTTCAAACCCACCAGTGCAGTGTACCGTGGGAGAGCAATTCCATGGGAAAGGTTGGGGGGGGGCGGGGGGCGGGTTGCCCCACTACCCTTCTCTGGGGCAGCGCTTACCTTCAGTGAGGAGACCCTCCCTTGCTCCTGGGAACAGGGACGGGGCAGGACTGGCCGTGCGGGACTGGGCGCAGATGAGCTCTGGCGAATGCGGCCTGGTGGCTCCATCCGTGAGCATTGGTGGGGATGGCACCCACTCCACCCAGTTAGCAGAGCTTTGGGGGACAGGTGGGATGCGGTGTGGGAGGCTGTTTTGAGAGGTTGCAGGGATTCCACACTTGTTTCCCCCAATCCCAGGCTTACTCAGGAGCACTGACTGTGGGGAGAACTTCACCCTCCCTGGGACTGACAGCCCTATGTGGGCAGGCGCCGGAGGTGGGCTGCACTGAATGCCCTCCTTGCAGGTGTGACTGCACCATGTGTGTGTGTTGTTCCCCCCACCCCCCTCCTCTCTTGCAGCAGCCGACCTACGTCCAGGCCCTCTTTGACTTTGACCCCCAGGAGGATGGCGAGCTGGGGTTCCGTCGGGGAGACTTTATCCACGTCATGGATAACTCGGATCCCAACTGGTGGAAAGGCTCCTGCCATGGGCAGACCGGCATGTTCCCCCGCAACTACGTCACCCCCGTGAACCGGAACCCCTAGGCAGCTAGCCAGGGTTATTTAAAATGAAAATGTCAAAACCACATCCAGAAGTCAGAGCCCTCAGCTGCCTCTCCTGCAGACACCTGGCGGGTCACCTGGTGGCCCACTCACTGGGGACAGTACTTTGGGGGGGTGGGATGGGAGGGGTTGGATATAAAAATGCCAAAACTTACCTATAAATTAAGAGAAGAGTTTTTATTACAGATTTTCACCGCTGCTCCTGTCCTCTGTTTCCGTCTTCTCTCTGCTGTCTGTCAGTGCATGATGCCACCGCCCCTCAGTCTCCTTGCCCACGGCTGGAAGAGACAGACCCCCAGTGGCTTGGGACGGTATGCAAGCGTCCCCCCCGCTGACCAAGGAGCCCCGCCCCCACTGCGGGTCCCTGTCCCCACAGGAGAGGGTTGAGCAGAGGCGGCTCAGACCCACGCCCAGTCTCCTTCCAAGTGGCGTCGTCACGCGTGTTCTTTTCTCATGGTGCCTTTGTGCGTGTTTCAAGGGCGGCTTTGGTTTGTTTGCAATAAGACAGTCAAGCGCTTTTCAGCCAGTATGTTGCCTACTCTGTAAATCTCTCTGGCCTGGAGGTTGGGGGCGGGCAGGGTCAAGGAAGAGGGACATGGAGCATTCAGAGGTCTCAGAGGGTCAGCTTTCACACCTGTGAGCCCATCGGAGTTTAGGGGGCCTGCCTGGCTCCGGGCAGAAATCCGGGCAAGCTCCAGCCCAGGAGAGCACGCAGAGAAGAGACTGGACTGCAGCCCTGCCTCACTGACCCCGCGCCAGGTGAGGCCAGGCCAGGAGAAGGGGGTGGTCTTGCCCCTCGCATGAGGGTCTGTGGCTCACCTCCGGAGTCACCTCCTTTTCCCTGCTGAGGGAGACCACAGTGGGGGGGGTGTCCTGCCTCCTTTCACAGCAGGCTTTTCATGCCTCTCCACTGCCCCCGCTCCCAGAAGTGAAGCCGAAGCAGCCGCGGTGAGGCCCAGAGGCCTTGTCCTCACACAGCTGTCTGCCCTCTGCCAGCCCTAGAAGCCCGCATCTTTGCCCCAGCCCGCCCCCTCTCACCGCAGGAAAAAAAGGCCACTTAACATTTCTCTCCTCGTGAGCGAGGCTTCTGGTCCTGGACTGGGGGTGCCAGTCCCCGGGGGATGCGGGGCTTGCTGAAGTTGGCCCTGGAGGCTCCAGCCAGGCAGAGCCCCGCCTGAGCCTCCTGCGTCCCGCCCTGCGTCTGGCCTCTGGGCTGTGACAAGGAATCAGGCATTCTACACCCGGACCATTTGATTGTTTTATTTTGGAGTTGGTGTATATCATGAAGCCTTGCTGAACTAAGTTTTGTGTGTATATATTTAAAAGGAAAAAAAAATCAGTGTTTGAATAAAATGACTATGTACTTAACCCTTTAACTCTGCGGATAGCATTCGATAGGTAGTCATTAACTGTGAATAATAAAAGACAGTGAGTTCTTCACTCTGGGTCCAGCGTCCGTACCTCCATCGCCCTTGGGAAGCATGTGGGTGTTGCCAGCTGGGTGCCCACCCCGGACTGCTGCCCCTGATTCCTGTTGGGACCCGGACCCCACCCTCAGTCACAAGTGTTGCATCCCAAATCAGGGAGCCTCTGGAAGTGTGGCTGGCCTCTCCTGCATGCCCTCAGTGGTCCTGGTGGCACAATAGCTAGGTACTTGGCTGCCGCCCCAAAGATCAGGAGTTCAAACTCATCCAGAGCACCGCAGAAGAAAGGCCCGGTGGTCTGCTCTCCCAAGGATGGCCGCCAAGGAGCAGGTCCCCTGGGTGGCTGTGGGTAGAAGTAGACTCCCTGGCACCCACTCCACTCAGTGTGTGAGAGAGAGGACAGGAAATGGAGCAGAACTACAGGCCCTGTTTCCTGGGTCCCCTGCTGCCAGTGTCAAACAAGACGGGGCCTGTTTGAGCACACAGCCCCCCAATGGCCAGCGACGTGAGATTCTGAGGTTCCTGAGGAATAGAACAGAAAAGTTGAGCCCGTGGGGTTCTCACTTGTCTTGATCTCAGACCACATATGAGAGAGGGAGGGAAGTGGAACTGAAAGTTCACGAGATTTTTTCCCACCGACTTTTGACACCCCCTCGCCAGGCCCACGGGGAAAGTGCCACTTGGGTGTGAGGATCAGGCATGTCACAGAGCTCTGGGGAACTGCTGAAGTGTCCGGGGGGGCATGGGCATGGGGAGGCTTCCAGGGAGCAGGCCTTTGGGTGGAGAGAGGGTGGCACCCTGCAGCGGAGGTTGGTGGGGGTGCGCCATTGGAACCCCTCCGGTCTGCCCTGTGGGCTTCCTGGTTCTGGTGCATCTGCAGAAGACCCCCGTGAGCAGCGGGAAAGACCCATGGACCCAGTGGCTGCAACGTTGGGCTTAGAACGTAAAGATTGTGTGGCTAGCTGGCGCAGGACTGGGCAGCGTCAGTTACACTGGGCAGGTCTTTCACAGCAGGTGTTCGGTTAAGAAAATAAGCAGCTAAGGCAGAGCCTGGCTGGTCTCCAAGCCCAAGTCTCGTTCCTCGTCAGCCGGCCTTAAGCCCAGCCTGCTTGTGGCTCTTGTGGCCAGGTGACTGAGCCCTCGAAGGTGGACTGGTGGTCCTCCCATGTGGCCCTCCGCTTCCTCTTGTCCACCGCTTGCGGACTCAGGACAGGAGAGCCAGCAAAGAACAGAGGGGAACGGTACCAAGTCCCGTGTGTTCAAATCCTAGTGTTCTTTGTGTCAGCTGCAAGGTTAACGACCCTCTAGGGACTGAAATGGGGCACTAACGAGAAACAAGAAATCTGGTGATTTGGTTGAGAGCTGTTAGGTATAGGACAGGAAGCGAGATTGCTCATCATGAGCTAAAATTTAAGGAAGCAGCAATGATGGCCAAGCCAAAGTAGACGTGAGACGACATCTGTACAGTTGTGTAAGCAGTCGGGGGGAATCCACCAGAAAGAAAGCCTCCCTCGCACCCTGCTCCTGAAGTCAGCTCGTGCCTCGTGGAATCCAGATTTGCTGGATCAACCCCTGCGACCAACCAGCACCTTAAAATCGTAAACTTTAACACCCCCCCAAAAAAAAATCCTTTAAATTATCTTGAAACCAAACAATGATACTGAGTAAAGACTGCGTGAGCATTGTGCTCTTTTGAGATCTGCCTCCCTGCTGGCATCAGGGTTACACGTGTAAGTGGCTGACTAGGGCCAGCAGTTCAAAACCACCAGCCACTCTGCTGGAGAATGACAAGGTTACCTACTCCCGCTCAAACCCACAGGCAATTCTACCCTGTCCTATAGGGTCACTGACCTGAGGGCGATTGTGTGTGTGTGTGTGTGTGTGTGTGTTCAAAGTGACAACATTAATTTGAAGGATGAGATGGGGCACTTGAGGCCCAGTGAGTTTGTCAATAGGGGAAGACACACTCGGGGAGGAGGGGGAAAGGTTCTACAACTTGAAACGCACAATGTCCCTGGATTATACCTCTAGAAATCCGTGGATCTGTGTACTACTGTGTGCATTCTCAGACCAGCAACCCAAATGACTGTGTGTGAGGAGCCCCGGTGGTGTTGTGGGTTACATGTTCACGAGGTCAGTTTGAGTCCACCAGGCACTTTCGGGGAAAGATGAGGTTTTCTACTCCTGTAAAGAGTTATAGTCTAGGAAATCCACAGGGGCAGTTCTACCCCGGGTTGCTGTGCATCGGAGTTGGCTTGATGGCAGTGAGAGTTTTTTCGTGTGTGTGAATATAAACGTGTACACACATACACAGAGGTGTCAGCCCTTGAAGACTGGTCATCTCTCCACTTTGGCTTACATGGGGTCACCATCAATTGGAATAGACCATGACTAGGAGGTTCGCGTCTTCCATCAGGCCGCACACCCGGGGCTTCACAGCTCAGCAAGCACAGCTTCCGCCCCTTTCTCCCTTCTCGGCTCTGACATTTCCCCCAGGTTCCTCCACCCTGGGCTGACTGCTCTGCTCCTCCCCACTCTTCCTCCCTTCCCCCAGCTAGTCTGGCTCCCAACTTCCGTCAGCTGCCCAGAGCTGGAGGACGAAGTCCAAACGCCTGACCCTGAGGAGAGGCCACCACAGGGAGAGCCTGGGCTACTTGCTGGGCCACACCTTACTGGCTGTGTGGCTTTGAGCAGGTCCTTTAAATCTCTGTTCCCTTTCTTCACGCATCTGTCTCTAACACATGTGCTCGCACACGCAGCACCAGGCTGATGGAAGCATCCTGTGTGGCTCTGTCGGTAGATGTTTGCACAATGATGCAGTTCAGTGCCCCAGGCGCTGGTGATAACCTTGGTGACCTCTGAGACTGGCTCCCCAGGTTCATCAGCACCCATCTTCTCTGGGACCCGAGGCAAAGATCTCGACTGCTCTCTCTGTCTCTGGTTCATAACGCGTCTCCTGTTCTGTCTCTAGCTTATGACTTGTCCCTTCCGCAATGACCTCTCGGCCTCTTCATTTCTTCCGAATCACAGTCACAGAGCAGAACTGACTGGAGAAGCCCCACCTCTTCTGAGAAGCCTTGCCCAGACGCCAGTTTCCAGTCTTGCAACCTTCCCACCCCAACCCTATGCCCTTCTCCAGCTTCTGGGTCAGTAGTCTGAGTCCCCAACGGAGGAGCAGCTGCCTGAAGGATGGACAGCTCCTTAACCCACCCTCCCGTCTCCCTGCTCCACCTCCACCCTGCTCAGTCACCTTGGTGTGGCTGGTGTAGACCTGCAGCCCAGAGGGAGCAGGGCCCAATGGGTTACAGCCTGAGTCTGGATGGAGAACCCTTGGGCTGGGTACTTCTGTTAGGTAGCCAGATTTGGGGACAAGGGATTGTCCTTCCCATGCCTGCAAAGGCCCCCATACAGGAGGTTGGGAAGACATTAGGCAACCATTAGTCGCCTATGAAGACCCCCTGTATTAGTCTAGGTACTTTGGAGAAACAAATCCACAGCAACTCACGTAGAAGAGAGAGTTTTATGCAAAGAAAATGTGCATCACGAAAACATCCCAACCCAATGCTGCCCAAGCCCACAAGTCCAACATTAACCCATACCCAACACCAGTCCACAAAGTCCTTCACCTCACAAAACAGAGGCAATAATGCTGACTGCAGGAGGAAAGCTGAGTCAGTGAACGTGTAAGCATCTCAGCACTGGCAGGGGTCTCCACACGGCTGCTCCAGCACCCAGGGCTGCATCGGGATAGATCCATGCGGCTTCTCCTTGGGGATGTCTTGTAGGAAATCCATCTTGAAAGCTGAAGCAGGGAACTGCTAAGGCAGCTGCACCCGATGCAACCATCACAAAACAAGAGACCCGAGAACTAGAAAGGCGAGGCTTCACCACCCATTTATCCCTCCGCCTTTCAACCAGACCCACATGTGATTATGGGCCAGGCTGGCACAATTAACTAACTCACCCCCCAAACTGAGCATGCTCCAATTCAAGCTCCGAGACAGGTGGGCGCACCTGAGTGGTCCAAACTAGGCCCAGGCTCATGACATCACCTAGGTGGGCTCAACCTAGCCAATGGGGTCAACCAATACCATCAACCACGCCTCCCCAGCCAGAGGCTTGACATATCCTGGCTGTGGGAAGGCCACTCTCTCACCTGCTCCTGGTCCCAGGCAGGTGGGAGGGAGGGGCACACATGCCACCAGGAATGCCACCTCGCTCTCGCTGTGGCCTCGGATTCTAAGGCATCTGGCCTCCCAGGATCCGCCCAAGTTCCACACACATGGGGGCTCTCTTCCAGGTGGTTGTTCGTGTCCAGTTGTGAGCCCCAGAGTGGCTTCCCCGAAATAGCACAGACCCTTTTGAGACTGTAAAACCTGAAACGTGTCCGGTCTTTCATCAGAACCCACTTGGATCACAAAACGGGCTTTGGTGCGAATTCTTCAATCGCGTGATATTAAAGCCAAGAACCGAGGTCTGACCCACTCGAGAAGCCTTATGGGTCCTTTGCTTTTGGAATAACGGATTAGCCTTGAATAGAGGACCTTTCGAAGCCGCCAGTAAAGAGACTGAGCTCGAGAAAAGGAACCGGATTGTGTTTGAGAGGATCCGAGGAGACAGAGTGTGTGAAACGGCACCCAGTCCAAAGCTAATATCTTCCAGGCAATTCCGACCCGGGTGACATGGGGCGTGTCAGAGTGGAACTGCCCACATGGGATCTTCAGGAGCGGTGGTCTGGTGGAAATAGGTCACCAGGCCTCCTTACTTCCAGAGAGTTGCCAGGTGGATTTGAACCCTCAACTTTTAGGTTAGTGTTGTTATATGCCATCGGGTCCGTTCCAAGCCTCAGTGACCCTCCGTCACCAGAAAGAAATACTGCCTGTTCCTGCGCCGGCCTCGCAATCTTATTGCCCGTGTTTGAGCCCTTGTTGCTGCCACTGGGCCACTCCATGTGGTTAAGGACCGTCCTCTTGTTCCGCTGACTCCTGACTAAGCCTGACGTCCTTCTCCAGAGGC